TGATATTAGGTAAACGATTACATTGTAAAAGTTAAGATTATCTTTGAACAATATTTCTTTAGTAATCAACCATCATTTGACTGTCTAGCAGATTGGATTCGTGAGGTAAAAGCGTACGGTAACAACAGTGTTTTATGTATTCTTGTCGGTACGTATAATAACATAAAAATAAATGCTTATACATAAACAGTATGAGAATACATTCTTTAGGCAACAAGTGTGATATTAGTCAACGTGAAATTCCGGCTGAAATTGGTGAACAGTTTGCTGAAAGAAATGATATGTGGTATTTAGAAACATCTGCAAAAGATAGTGACAATGTAAATAAATTATTTTATGGCATTGCTGAAGAATTAACACAAAAGGCACGTGAAAGCACATTAGGAATACGCAATAATTCGAATGAGACATTTCCAAAAGGTCAAACAAAACCGGTGAATTCAAGTTGTTGCTAAATATCAACATCGGTTTTTCTTTTTCTCAAGTATAATTTGTTGTGAATGTCTTTCGGTATGATCGCTCACATCGGTCAGGGTTTATCTAGAAAAAATACACGATTATTTTCTCCTACTAAGCTGATAATCTACTGTTTAAGAGTTGACCTCTTAAACGGAAACATTGAGAATCTCATCATGGCTTCTTTGCGTTCTTCCGCTTTTATTCGTTGTGACTCCATTTGTTCTGCAATTTTTTCCTCATTTTTGTGCATTTTAATTTTATATTGCTTCTTCAATACGAATGAGTAAACTCAAAAATGATCTCTAGAAGAATTGTTTCAAAATAAGCATTTCTTTTTTGTTGTGTACTCGGTCTAAAATACTTTGTGTGCAAATTTTTCTAGTTATAAAACTCTCATTTTTTGTACTTGCTTTTTTTGTAATTAGAATAATTTTTAGAATATTTTACAGCTTTGCTTTTTACGTTGTTGTAGACAAACGTTAATTGAAGTTGTTGGTTGCTTATTAACTAATTAAAAAAGAGAAACACAAATAAGAATTTGATAGTGGCATAATAGCCTGTAGATCTTAGATCTGAATGGAAAGGTTTACGCATATTAATTGGCCTTGAACAGTGTTGGTACTACTCAGGAAAATGCGTTTTTCTTATGATCAGTGAAAAGAATGCTCACAATATTTTTTTTGGCTGACGTATAAAACGAATACATTTAAGAGCTTTGTTTTTTTCTGAAAAAGTTTTATGTAAATTACACGACTCGATCAATAGTCTTTTTGGAACTTTCAACTCGAAATGCCTGCCGGTAAGCGACAGAAATAAAATTCAGTCAAAAGAAAATTCAAAAATCAACTTAACCGAAGGAGGAAGATTAATTTGCATCGATTTCTGTCCCTGTTTTATTGACTTGATGGAGATTTTGAAGAAAAAAACGACTTTAAATATTTCTCAGTGAATCTGCATCTTTAAATCCTTACAGGAAATTTTTTCTAAGAGAGTGTCTATACGATACCAGCCTTAACAAAAACGATTTTTTTCTAAAATTCAGAACAACGTTAGAGCTTTATACAGAAAAATAGCCAACAAAAGGAAATATTGGATAAAATATGGTATATGAACAACTATAGCTAGGTAATAGATGATAGAAGAAAAAGATTTCATTTTCCGACATTTTATATCTACTGTCATTCAATCAGTATTCATATTTCCTCATTTTCAGCCATAAAGGAGAGAGAATGCAACTAGTCTTTATTGAAATAGAAAGTAAATCGTGTACCGTTACAAACAGCTTTAATAAAACAAATACAAATATTTTGTGTCCGAAAATTTTTTAAATCTATTTCTAATCTAATTTGTATAATATCACAATGAAAACGATTAGGAGTAGAAAACAAAAAAGATAGATAAGTAATGTATGATCGTAATTCTACAATGAGATAGCAAAAGGACCATAAATAAGAGGACAGCAGTAAGTTTTCGTGAGTCTAGAGATCTATGTGGTGGTGACGTGAAATAGTCTGAGTAAAGTTGCTGTTCAAATTAGTCAAGTACTCAAATCGTCTGATTATTCAAAAAATGTCAATCTTATCAGTAATTTCATTTTATGTATTATTTAAAGTATCTTGTTCTTTACGGTAACAACGAGTGTGAACTATGAAATTTGCCTATGTAATTCATATGCGTTACCAAAGCCAAATGAGATCAATACTAACCATTTTTTGGCATAGTTCATCTTTTGAATCTCTTTTTAAATTTATTACCAGATTTTCAATGGTCATATACGTTTTTTTTCTCTATGTTCAATTTATAGCAAATTGGGCTTTCTTTAAAAGATAAAATTTTCATGAGTAGGAAATGTTCAGTCCAAAACTTTGCTTATCAATATTATCTAGTACAATTGCACATGGTTCAAAAGCTAAGAAAGAATAATGAATATTCTATAACTCAAATAAAACTGGTATTAATCATTATTTTTACAGTTAGTTTAATAGATTTTATTTTAGAAAGAATCAAATATCATATAAAAAAGAATGATCTTGAATAAAAAAAACTTGTTAAAAATATCCAACTTGCTCTTCACATAGCCGAGATAGGATACGAACATATTTAATATGCTTCGCAAAGAAATCGATAATTTCTATTACAATCATCAGCGTATAATCCACACCCTGTGATACTCACACATTGATCATCTTTTTTAATTTGTTCACTACCTTTTGGACACCATATATCAATTGATTCTAGTTGAGCATGTTCTCCGTTATCGTACCATTCATAAACGGCTATTTCATCAATTCTTGGTACTCGACGTTTTTTTCGTATTGTTGTTGAATTATGTAATTTAATTGTATCAATATGACTTGTGGCACCAATCCAATAATAATAGTCCAATACACTATCATCCACATGTTCATTTAAACTGTATCGTAACAATTCAATATCGGTTATATTTAGATTACTTGCTAATTTTAAACTATAACCTGATTTTAAATCATCATTATCATCTGTCTCTATTTCATCTTTACAGTATTCATTTGAATCATACCATGTTGCTTTATTTGATGAAAATCGAAAACATCTATTACCAATTGATAAATCTCGACACGAAATACATGTATGATTTTTATGTGACCAAAATGTACGTGATTTACATTTACAACGTTTCATTTGACAATATAGTCCATTTGAATAACCACAATCATGATCAATATCACATGGCATGTCCAATTTAATTGTTTCATCATCACTAACCATTACCAAACTACCAAAACCGTTGATTAAATGTAAATCAACAAAATTACTTTTTGTTGTTGTGGTGATTGTAGTAGTGGAAGTAGTAGTAGAGGATTGTGAATTTTTCTTAATTAATTGTTGATTATAATCGTTTGATGAATCAATATTACTATTTGCATCCAAACTTGTTACTAACATATCAAGTGCATTAGCAAATTTTCTAGATAAAGCACAAATGACAGTTTGCACATAAAAATTGCTTGTTAGGTAGGACAACGTTCCAATTATTGCAGTATTCATTTTGAAAGATCGTCATACAGATTTCTATTGACTCAATGAGAAATATTCATCTACTCAATCCAAAAGTAAAAACTGGTGGTTCAAAATTCATACTTCTAGTGTTCTATCAATTATGTAGCGTTGTTTTCGGCTTTACTTCTTTTCTGTTCTCTCCTAGTCTCTCTTGGTATGCACTGAGCGCGTTTTAATATTAGTTTGATTTTACCATGCGGACATGTCATCTTTTTGCGTAGTCAGCCTATTTCTCAAGAGTAAGTTGAAATTCCTTATACGATCAATTTTTCGAGAACGCACCAAAAATCTGCCGAGAAATACTTAGGGCATACCAAAAGTAGTGGCAGTGGTATTTTTATCCCTTATAGAAAGGTTAAAGAAACTTTCTTTTTATATAGTCTGATAGAGAAAAGAATGTTCTATTTTTCTATGCTATTTGATC